TCCAATCTGCTATTTTAATTCCCCTTAGATGTGTAATTTGACATATTCACAGATTTCAAGGACTGGGACCTTTGATAGGCTATTATTTGTCCTACCATACTCAGCATAAACTACAAACTATCTCCCTTGCAATGGCAGCCACCCAAATCTCAGTTCATTCTCAGCCTTAGCTGTGCTGTTAGGAGTCTGCCCACGTGTATGTTGTTCAGATCAGCTGAGGAACTGGTTAGGATTTACACATTTACACATAGAATTCAGGGCTCCTTCTCTTAGGCTTCCTCATTTCTGGGATCTCACCTGACAACATCCAGTGACTATGGTTAACCCAAACTCTATCCTCAGGTTCTGCAAGCCAGTAAGATCATGGATTTTCTACGAAGTTTTGGCCACCCTACATGACAAAGATCTGTGCCTGTCAGTGAAAAGGAATATATATGGGAAGCTGTCTTCATGTGATTCCATTCTACCAAGTGTCGATTTCCCTCCAGTGTCTGTCTGCTTTTGGATACTCGGGTAGATCTACTGTCTTCAGGTAGGTTTTGTTTTGTTTTGTTTTCAGAGATAAGATATTTTTATCTGCATGAAGGTTGGTATGAAGGTTACTCTAAGTGTTGGTCCAAGCTCTCTAACCATACGAGAAGCCTTGATTTTACTTTTTTAAATTGTTAATGACCTTATTTACTTGTGTCAATAAGTCAAATTCCAATAGAACAATGTTTCTTTTTTACCTTACATCATCATCTGTATCACTCACAATAAATAACAGGAAATCTACTATGCACAAATCACAACTCGATGAATTTTACTTAAAGAAAACATACCATGGTAACTAGCATCCAGATAAAAACAGAACTATCAGTTCTATAGACAGTCACCTTATGGCGTCTTCCAGTCCCCATAAAAACTCTTCCCTAAAGCTAATAGTTATCTTGACTTACTTGCTTATTCAGAACTTCATATAAATAGAATTGCTCAACTCATAGGAATTTTCTGCATGTATGGCTTCTTTCACCCAAAATTGTGTTTGTAAGAAGCATCCATATTGTTTGCATACAACAGTAGTTCATTCATTTCATGAGGTTTAGTATTCCCTGTATGAAAAAATTGTGATTTATTTATCTTTACGACTTTCAGTGGATATTTGGATTGTTTCCAGGTTAGGTCTATTACAAATAGATTACTATGAACATTTGAGTGGATGACACTTAGTGTTGATGTACCCAGCTTCATGTTGCACATGTCTAGGAATGGAACT